TTCTTCGGCGCCTTGATCCACGGTTTTATTCGATCGACAGACAGTATGGTATTTAAGGGTTTTTGCTTAATGTTAAAACCTGGAATATCTTGGATCACGTATCTATGGTTCCCGAGGACCTTCGCAACCTGGTAAGGTCCTTTGTAATTAGGTTTCAACTTTGAATTAATTCCAACTTTATTTCGGTCGTCCCTAATTAGAATACGATCTCCAATTTTATATATCGTTGGTTTCTTACAGTGCTTGTCTCGGTACATTTTATTGTAATCCCTTACTACCTCAGTCGCTCGCAACGCATTTTCCCTGCTAATATCCCTTTCTTTTTCAAGGTTCGCATCGATATCTACAAGAGCTTGCGTAAACCTGGCTAGGGAGCTATCGCCGTGGCTACGTTGATCGAAGCCAAACATGATCTTTGCCGGTGTAGCCTTGATTGCGGAATGGTATGTATTATTGAGCACGTATTGCATATCATTTAGACGCTCTTTCCATCCACTCGGTGTCTCTATTAATTTAGTGAGGGACGATTTGATGAAACGATTCACCCTCTCAACCATACCGTTTGCCCACGGGGCCGCCACCGCAACCTTTCTATGCTTGATGTTTTTCTCTTTCATGACTTCTAAGAATTCTTTTGACGTAAACGCTGTGCCTCTATCCGAAACTATTTCTAGTGGATTTCCAAACACAGATATAATGTTGTCGATGCAATGTAGTGCTTCTTTAGTCCCTGTAGATTTTGTAGGGAATAACCATGTAAATCGCGAAAATGCATCTATCACAACTAAAATGTGTTTGAAATTATCCGCAGTTTCTTGAAGCGGACCAAAGTGGTCACCATGCAGTACATCAAGTGGCAACGTGGGTAAAGGGTACAGCTGTGTTTCCCCCTCCAAACGATTCGGAGAGCTATTCGACATAATGCAAGTGAGACAGTTATTCACGTATTCATATATTCGTTTTCTCATGGTCGGAAACCAAAAATTTTGACTAATGCTTCGGAACGTTTTCTCAGCACCGCAATGAGCCAATTCGTCGTGGTGGACTCGCAACATGTTCGTCACCATTGACTCGGGTACCACAAATTTTAATCTGTCATCTATTTTTCTGTAAACTAAGCCGTCACTTAAGGCAAATTTTTCACTATCCTCTAGCTCTAAGCTCTGACTAATTTCTAATATTCTAGGGTCTGTCAGCTGTAAAAATTCTAAGCGCCTTTCCAACGGGAGCTCGTCCACATGGGCCACGCATCTGCTGAGGGCATCAACGTGAGCCATGCGACTTCCTGGGCGGTGCATTATACTAAAGGTATAATTTTGCAGAGCCAAAGTCCATCTGGCTATTCGAGGATTTAGATTTGCCTTATTGATAGCGTACACGATTGCATTACAGTCTGTAATGACTGCAAAATCTATCCCGTACAAATACACGTGGAATCTTTCTATTGCACGCACTATTGCTAACATTTCTAATTCATAACTATGGTAATTTTTTTCAGCCGCATTCGTGCCTGAACTAAAGTACGCTACTGGGGACCATTTCCCCTCCTGCTGCCGCTGCAACAGAATCGCCCCGTACCCTAGACTGCACGCATCTGTATGAAGCTGAGTCTCTGCGGAGGGATTATACAGACTCAACACCGGAGGTGAGGTCAGTTCATTCTTTAATAACTTAAACGCCTCTATGCACGAATTATCGAAAAGATACGGCACGTTTTTCCTCATCAAATTTTGTAATGGTCTAATTTTAATCGAATAATCCCTGATGAATTTTCTAAAATAATTTGTAAGGCCTAAAAATCTTTGTAATTGAAGTCTGTCCTTCGGAGGATTGTAATTTTTTATAGCCTCCGTGTGCCGCGGGCTAAGAGTAATTCCCGACCCTGAAATTCTGTATCCTAGGAATTCTATCTCTGACCTTAAAAATTTACATTTTGCATAATTCAGTTGAAAATCGTAACTTTTCAGAATTAATAATACTTTCTCTAAAATTTCCAGATTTTCCTCAACAGATTCAGAAGGAATCAGAACATCATCGATGTAAACCAGGATCTTGTCTGCACGAATCAACGGGTTAAGGATCCGTATCAACCTTTTCTGGAATTCCGCGGGTGATTCCGAATAACCGAAAGGTAAACGCGTATATTCAAATTGCCCATCTGGCGTGGCGAAAGAAAAGTACTTTGTTGAATCCTTATGAACTCTAATCTGGTAAAAGCTGTCTTTAAGATCTAACAAAGTAAATACTTTTTTATTACCTAGTTTCGCGAGACAATCTTCTATTATTGGGAACGGATATTTCTGTTTTATTACGCGACTATTTAAAGGTCTCAAATCCACGCATAACCGTAATTGCCCGTTCTTTTTCCTTATAGGAACTACTCGAGCGCAGTACGGGGAAACGCTGGGCTGGATTATTCCCCGTTCCAGCAGATCGTCGGTGATCTTTCTGAGTTCCGCTCGCTCCGCGTTTGCAAAACGCCTCGGCGCAAAAGCATAAATCGACGGGTCTTTTAATTGCACTTGGACGGTGTTTTCGTCCTCAACAGGTATAATATTTTTGTCTCTTATTCGACAAACAAGTTTACTTAACCGATCCTTTGCTTCTATGTCAAAGTCTATATTTTGTTGTTTAATTATGTTTTCCAGATTATTTTCGTCGCTATCAATACACAGCGGTAAATACGAAAACAGATTCGCCTTATCTCGGTCACCCTTCGCGCCTGGCTCATAAACAAAAGTAAGTTTTTCTTCGATAATGAACTCGCGCCCTAATATTAGGTCTCCTTGAAACGTGTTCGAATCGAGAACATATAAATTCACCGAAATTATTTTATTTTTTAGACATTGTATTCCTATGCGACTTTTGTAAATTCCTAATATATTTAACGGCTCGTTTGTTAAGTTTCTCAGCGGACTCTTAATTTTCATCAACTTATTTCCCGGTTGTATAAATTTTCGAAAATACTATTTTTTATAAATGACACCGGACTACCCGTATCGATTAACGCTGTCAAATTACATTCTCCGTTTTCTAGGAAGTTGATCTTAACGAACGGATCGGTGACGGACAACAATGTACGCTCCGCCTGTACTACCGCGACGCTATCGGACGCCTGTATATCCGCTGACACGCTCGCCGCCGCTATTCCAGAGGAATTCGGTGTGCGCCCGGGAGTCTTGGACTCTTTCTTTTTCAAGATCGGGCAGTCAAATCGCCTATGCCCTTTCTCTTTACAATAAAAGCACGATACCTCATTTCTGCACTCTTTGTAAGTATGACCTTTCTTTCCGCAGTTCCGGCAGGCTCCATCCTTCGGCTTCTGCGGCTGCCCTTGGGACGACGGCTTCCTTTCCCAGTCCGAGGTGCCCTGGGTAATCGTCCGCATCCGCGCCAAGAAGCCTTCCAGAGTGTCGTCGGATACTGCCAGTGCCGTCGCTCTGAGTGATGTCGGCATTATTCCGCTCACCAGCAACTGGATCCTGTCCCGATCAGGTAGGTCGACTTGGTGCATCAGCGCCAGCTTATCGATGGCGTAATCATCGAAGGATTCCTTATTGGAAGTCCACTTCCTTGCCTCAATTTTCTGCATTGCCCTATAAAACGGAATTTTCCTATCAAATATTTTTAGCAACTCCGACCTCAGGCCGACCCAGGATTCAACGGCCAGATCCCCCTGGACGTCAAACCATCTCCTGGCCGACTTGGTCAGCTTGCTCGATGCGGCCAGCAATGTCGCTCCGTCTGTCGCTCCGTGGACCTGAGCAACTTTGTCCACTCTCCGGACCCAGGAGTGGACGTTGTCGTCCTCCGTGCCACCGAACTCCGGGATTTGATGGGCCAACGCCTGCACCGCCGATCCTGACGACCACGACTCCGTCGAGCGCCGTCCTGCTTCCTCCGACGGGGACACCCGAGGTGAAGTATCTCGCTCAACCTCCCTCGCCGTGCCTACCTGTGTTTGCGCTGATCTCGCCTCCCTCTGGTCGGTTAGCAAATGGAGTATTTGCCCTAACGTTTCGTGTTGCAGCTGCATCGCTGCTCCCATTTGCTCGTGCTGCTTCTGCATTGCCACCAGCATCTGTTTTAAGACGTCCGCCGATTCCTGGGAGTCTCTCCGTTGCTGCGAGGCCTTCGTGATCTTCGGAACCGCACCCGACGTCGTCGGTCTCGGAGAGGCCAGCTGCATCATCTCCTCGACCGGCCCATGAGTCTCCAGATGTGTCATGATCACGTCGATGAGCGAGTTCCGATTTCCCGAGATTGGCAACCGATACTTCGCTGCCTCTAATCTCAGCTCCTCGTGAGAGAGATTTTCCAATTGTGCTCGTTCCATTTTACCGCGAGCTCGAGTTTTCACCATGCAGGTAGAACCTTTTACCGTTAAATTTTAAAAAAAGCCGTTACCTGTGTTTTAACAACTTTTTTTTTTATTATTTTCTTTGTCCCAGATGACCTCTGCTTCTGGTTCTCCTGTGAAGCCTGAGCGAATCCCACTTCTGAAGTTGAAAAGATAATGTGAAAGATGTTCTTCTCGTTCTTCTTTTTACAATTGTCAGGTAGGATGGTATGTTTGAAATAAAGATAACTCGAACACTCGAAATTAAAGTATAAGAAAAGACTCGCAATCAATTTATTCTCTAAGTACAGACCAAAAGACTCCCGCACGTATAATTTTTCCAACCGTATTATAGCGCTTCTCAAAAGAGAGTGCCAGTTAGTCGCCGGTCTTTTTTGGAGCAGGGTCTTCGAACAGTGCCCCACTCCTGTTACGCTCCTGTGTTGCGCCTGCTCGGATGCGCACGCAATAAACAGCTGTGTAAGACGCATGGTACGCAATATGACGAGTTCCGCCGGACGCATATATTTCTTACACTATCTATATCGGAACGCTATTGGTAGTACTGTCAGTACTTGCAGTGCATAACGGAACGCACCCCTAGACGAGGAAGCAGAAAACGTGGATGACCCATACATGACGATTCCGAGTCCGGTTGCGATGTCAGAAACTCGCAAAAGAAAATTTTTCTGAAGTTTCAACGCTTACTAGAAAAGCCTTTGATGGCATGGAAGTGGTGGATCGTAATCAGGAAGGTGAAACTGACTGGACTTATTGGACATTTACAAAGAACATCTGATTACTTTCGATACTAAATATTGTCTGTCATTTATTCTGATGTAGAATATTCAAGAATAATTATTCGGATGCTCGCATCGATTCAAGTACAACTACGGGAGCTTCACCAGAAAGTCGAACACGGAAAACCTATGTTTTCAGGAAATGTTGGCCTCATAGCGTCTCTTCTGCCATTAAAATCGATCGCGGAGATTGAAGTCTTTGAGAAAAAAATCCATGAAAATCCGGAAATAAAACAACAATTTGTAAGTTAATTATTTATCACAAAAAAAGGTCAAATTTTATTCAATTTGTTGCAAATATAGTAATATTTCTATTGCAGAATACATTTGTACAGAAAATTGGAGGTCATACAGCGCGTGAGGACACCCAAAGAATTTGCACAAAGATCTTCACAAATTCCTGTGCAGAGTTATGTTCATGGAAAGGACGGAAGGGAAACTTTTGCATTGAAGATCTATATATTATAAAAATAATGCAAGGTAATATAATATCCGAAATTTTAGTACCAAAAAATACCATTTTTACGTTGTTTGAGAATACAGTTACCTTTTTTTATTGTCCGTTTTTTGGCAGAAACATTGAATAATGTTCTTGCTGCAAACAGACAATTCAATAATGTATATAATAATTATATATAATAGTTAGGAATAAATGTTCTCAATCATCGTTGTCGATATCGAATCGAAAAAATAACTTTTTATATATAATTGTCTTCATGATTTCTTGCAATACTATTTGAAAAGATTACATATTTTATAGCAATTATTCGTTCCGTGGTAATATTGTGAAGAATTTTAATTTTTGCCAAAAATGTCAAATTGTTGTTGAATTTCTTCAAATTTTTGTTACAGAAAGTGTATAAATATACCTTCACAAAAGTTATATTTTAAATCTAATTTTTAACATTTTTTACTCGGTATAAGAGCAAAATATAAGAGCTGTATGGTATTTAGACTTGCAAATATGATCGGTTTTTATAAAAAACCCAAAAATTTATGCTAATTTATGCTAATCTTATTATCTAAACGTAAATAAAATAGAATGAAACAAAATGCAAAATAATTGATTACTTTTCACTTTATTCAATTGTTTATCATAAAAACTCTACTGTTAGAAGTTAACCCCATCAACCCTAATAAATCTAAATTTACTTTAATTTATTATCTAGTTTTTGTTTCACATTGTGTTTACATTTTTACATCATTAATTATATTAATTTGTTCACAGATGCTATTTTACATACATATCCGGCAACAAAAGAAATTGAATTCAAAGAGATCGTCGCAGAATGGTTCCGGTTTGCTAAACAACGACGAAATCGAACAATAGAAAAAGAGAAGAAAAGAGCAGAAAGAAGAAAGACAACGGATGAGACAAGAGAGAATGAAGCAAACTCTTAACAAGGTTAAAGATAATATAAAGACACTTGCTACTGTCATATACCGTGAAAAAATGCCTTTGTGTCTTTTGTCAAAAACTCTTTTTCATATTTTTCTTTTTTTTATTCATATGAACGTTTATTATTATATATAGTATATCTAGGTTATTATATAAAGAAATTCACTATACAACGGAATAAAAAAGTCTGCAATTGCCATCTTTAACGAATGATGCGTGACACTATATACAAATAATAATAATATAGAAACATACATATAATGTAGCGTAATAAAGATGAGGTGGGATGTATTAATTATATATATGTAAAACTGTGATAGCGACATTGCAAGAACCCACGTATTATTTTATCACAGCCATCATCACTCGGTATCTAGTCGATTTTAGTATCTATTAGCATCTAGTCGATAGACAATTTGCAGAAAATGTAAAAGACATATATTAAATAGATTGATAAGATATATAAGATATATATGTGTTCCTAATATAAAAGATATGTTTCTAATGTTTTAAGTTTGTTACATTTTAATTTGATACACATAATTATTTTGTTTGGTGTAATACAAACATTTTATGAATAAATAAGAATTTTGAATCCATCTATTTTTATTCAACTTTCGTAACAGGCTCATTACCTCAATATAACTGTAACATTACAAATATAGCTACTATTATTCAATTCAATACTTTATTTGCCCCCTCAGGGATTAAAGGCGCTTTTGAGGAGCGTACCCAAACCTTACAAATTTCTTACAATCTTAACTTATAGACTACTCTTACATTCTACTCTTACATCTATCTTACAATTATCTTATCTCTAACTTAATCTACCTATTTACTAATTAAGAGAGAGAAAGAGCTGTCCCTAACCTATTCCTCGCTTCGCCTCGGCTTCCAGTTCCCCATACATTCCCCAACACCTCATTCATACTTTCACACATTCTCCTCATACCTCCTTCCTCCTCTTCCCCTTCCACCCTCCCCTCCATCCTCTTTTTCTCTAATTCCCTCATCCACCCTTCTCCCTCTCCTCCTTCTTGCAGTATTTCCCTCATTTTTTCCCACCAGTTTCCCTTATTCCCCTCTCCCCCACATTCTCCTATTACATGTTCCCAAGTTTCATCTTCCATCCCACATAGTCTGCATCTTCTTTTCCCCTCCTCTTCCCAGTATCTCGCCCCCCTCATTTCATTGTTCATTCTATACCTCACTATCCTTCTCCATCTGCTTTCCCCCCATCCCTTTCTCAAGTATTCCGGTAAACCCTCCTCCTTCCATTCTCCATACCATCTATTGTATCTCGACTCTCTTATCTTCTCCCATCTTTCCTCCTTTTGCCTTTCTCTGTCCTTCTGCTCCCATCCCTCATATACTTCCTCCCCCCTTTCTCTTTTTTCCTCCATCTCCCTCTCTTCTATCCCCCTTCCTTCAAAAATTTTGCCCTCTCTTCCTCCCACACCGTTTTCTCCTTTCCTTCCTTTACCCTCTCCTTCATCTCCTCATAGCATTTCCTCGCTAAACTTCCTCCCATTCCCTCCTCTAATTTTCTCTCATACCCTATCGCTCTTCTTCCTGCTCTTATCCTGAATTTATCCTTTCCTATCTCTTCTCTTACCATATACCCCGGCGTACACCAATCTACTCCTAACGTCCACCTAATCCATCTTTCCTGCATTGCCTCTACTTCTCTCCTCTCCTTCCACCCCCATATTTCCGCCCCATACTCCATCACCGTTCCCACCAACCTTTCCATTAACCATACTCTTTTATCCAGTCTCCTGCAAATCTTCTCTTTCCCATACCCCATACTTGTCTCATCACCGCTCCTGCTTTCCTCACTCTGTCCCTCACCTGCGCCTCCTGTCCTCCATTCCTTTGTAACTTATATCCTAGATACTTGAACTCTTTCACTTCCTCTAATTTTTTCCCTTTCCATCTCCACTCCATTTTCCTCATTCTTCCTCCCCCCTTTCTAAACCTCATTATTTTTGTCTTATCCACATTTACCTCTAGCCTTTTTTATCCATGTAATTTTCCATTTTCCCAACATATGTATCATCCCCTCCTCCTCCTCCGCCAACAACACCATGTCATCCGCATATGCCAAGCAGTGCACTTTTTCCCCTCCCAACTTTACTCCTCCCCAGCCTCCTTTTTTCAGCACTTCCTCTATATCCGCTATCAACAAATTGAACAAGTGTGGGCTCATTGGACAACCTTGCCTCACACCCCTTGCCGTCCAGAAGTTTTCCTCCTTCCTCCTTCCCCGCTCTTACTTTACTCCTCGTTTCCTTGTATACCTCTTCTATCCTACTACTTAACCCTTCTCTTACCCCCCTCTTCCTCATCGCCTCCATTAACACCTCCCTATCCACTGAGTCAAACGCCGCCTTCAGATCTATGAAGGCCGCTACTACCTTACCTCCCTTCTTCTTCACTTTTTTATTGATCAGGTAGTTTAGCACATATATACTGTCAATCACCCCCATTCCCTTCCTAAAGCCTGTTTGACTCTCCGGCAACATATTCCCCCTCTCTATTTCCTCCTTTAACCTTTCTGTTAGAATCCCCACATACACCTTATATAACGTTGGCATCAAAGTCACCCCTCTGTAGTTTTCCACCCTATTCCCCGTTCCCTTTTTTAACAGTGGTACTATTATCCCCTCTTTCCACCTCTCCGGCCATCCTTCCCCTCTCCAGACTCTGTTGCACATTTCCCATACCCACTCTTCTACCCTCTCTCCTCCATATTTCCATACCTCACTCGGTATCCCATCCTCCCCCGCTGCTTTTCCTTTCTTCAATTTTCCCAATATCCTCTTTACTTCCCCCTGCTTATCTCCTGCTCCTCATCCCTCTCCCTTTTCTCTTTTCCTCCTCTTACAACTTTAACCTCTACCCCTCCCAATAAGTCCATGAAATATTCCTTCCACTCCTCCGCTTTTATCTCCTCATTCACTCCTTCTCTCTTCTTCCTTTCCCTGTTTATAATTTTCCATACCTCTCCTTCCGTTCTTGCCTCTATCGCTTCCTTGTACCATCTTATCCTCTCCTCCTCCCTTTTTCCTTTACACATTAGCTTATATTCTGCCCTTTCTTTTCTGTATCCTTCTCCTCCTCCTCCTTTCTTCCTCCATTCCCTTAGCTTTCTCCTCACTTCTTTCCTCTTCTCCTCACATTCCTCATCCCACCACCCTTTCTTTTCCCTTCTCCACTCTCTTTTTCTCCTTCTCTCAATTCCTCTTCTATCCTTCCTATTTTTTCCTCTAGCTCCTCTTCTATTCCCTCTTTCCACCCCTCTCCCCATTCTATTTCCTCTCTTATTCTTTCTCCTCCCCTCTTCGTCCATCTCCCCTTTTTTCTTATTCCTTTTCCTTCCTTCCTTTTCCCCTTTTCAGCACCTCCTCTTCTTTCTAACGTTACAATCAAAGGGTGATGGTCCGACTCTATGTTATCTCCCACCTCCATTCTCTTTATCTTTTCCTTTACTCTATCCTCTCCCACCACATAGTCTATCACCGATTCCCCTCTTCCTCCTGTATATGTGTACTCCCCCTCCCTATCCCCTCTAATCCCTCCGTTAAAAATTCCCCATCCCACTTCTTCTAGCTCTTTTATCAACTTCCTCCCATCCTCATTTACCTTCTTGTCCTTCGATCTTCTTTCCTCTTCCTCCTCTCCTCCTATCACTCCCCCCCTTCTACCTGTCCTTGCGTTGAAATCTCCTCCTAAAATCGTCCATTTGTCTTCTTCTTTCTCTTCCATCCATTCCTTCATTTCCTCCATTTTCCTTTCCATGTCCCCGTTAATGTATATACCTATTACCCTCCACTTCTCTCTTCCTACCTCTAAATCCGTATAGCTACTATTATATTGCATTAATATAACAGCTATCATATTTGTTATATTACAGTTACATTAATTGTTATGTAATGGTTAGATAACACGTTATATAACATGTTATATTGCTGAGTCGGAAAAAGTAACTTACATGTAAATTACATGTAACATTTTGGTAATATAACCTGTTATATTTGGTTACATTGCCATTACATTGCTGCTATATTACTTGGTTCACTGGGTATATAGCAAATAGAATAATATTTAGCATTAATTATGAATGGAATCGATTAGAAATAATAATTTGGAAATAACATATTCATTGTTATTTTTATTTAGGACACGATCCTTCTTCTAATTTAAATAAATTTGTACATTATAAAAAATATGCATTATATATGCGTTATGCATAAAGCATAAGGAATTCATCCAATGAAAACCCTTCATTTCTATTCTAGGAATAAAATGAAAGACTAATTTGTTGATTATATGTATCAGAGATAATAAAAAAATATTTAATTATTCCTCTGCTAACTCTACGGCGGTGAATTTTAATTAATTCGACACATTAAATATATATGATAGATACATATCTTTAAGTGCTTTTCCATTTATGTATGGTCACACAAGTGTGTGTATTTTTATTATTAGTAATTTGAAGATATATTTCGTTGTGTATTTATGCGGAAACGGAAATTGAAGCAGTGATGCCAAACGAATTATCACGCATGCGCGATAAATTTGATGACAGCGAAGTAGGAAGAAAAAGGTACAAACCCTTTGTTAAATTTGTTTAACAATAAGAATTATCTAAACATATTTAATCAATTAATAAAGAAAATAAATATACATATATATAACATGTACAATTATATAAATACAATACTTATATATAAATAAAATACTTATAAGTAATAATAATAATATGTCATTATTAGATATATAACAATGAAATATTAATATATATAAAAATAAAAAAATATAAAAAAATATATAAAATAATAAAAATATAAAAAAAAAATAAGATTATGCATATAGGAATCAGTAAAAAAATTAAGCTTTTGCTCTTTCTGTTGAATGGACACTGGGTTTCATTTGCATATTTAATATAAAAAAAATAAAAATAAAAAAAACTAAACATATATAAGATAGGCAATAAGAGCCAAATCGCGGATGACAGTGCGTTATTCTAAACGAAACTAAATTTTTTCGTTAGAATTAAATACCTGTGCACAAGGCACCAAATTTTTACTTGGACACGGCCAAGATATAAAATTGGAATAATCTCTACAAGAGATTTTTAATTCCATGTATCCCCTATTCCCCCTAAAGAAATAAAGTGCGAGAGAAAAATATAGATCCGAAAGTCGCAGAATCGGGAATCGAACCCGAGACCTTTCGCTTGCCGGGCGACTGCTCTTCCAACTGAGCTATTCAGATCCTTTCGATTCTATACTTTTCTCTGTTATATATATTAATGTTGGTAAATAAACGCCTTTAAGCCAGCGTGTATAAATTAAGAGTTTAACTAGGCTCTGTAATATATAAATATAAATTTAACATATATAAGATAGGCAATAAGAGCCAAATCGCGGATGACAGTGCGTTATTCTAAACGAAACTAAATTTTTTCGTTAGAATTAAATACCTGTGCACAAGGCACCAAATTTTTACTTGGACACGGCCAAGATATAAAATTGGAATAATCTCTACAAGAGATTTTTAATTCCATGTATCCCCTATTCCCCCTAAAGAAATAAAGTGCGAGAGAAAAATATAGATCCGAAAGTCGCAGAATCGGGAATCGAACCCGAGACCTTTCGCTTGCCGGGCGACTGCTCTTCCAACTGAGCTATTCAGATCCTTTCGATTCTATACTTTTCTCTGTTATATATATTAATGTTGGTAAATAAACGCCTTTAAGCCAGCGTGTATAAATTAAGAGTTTAACTAGGCTCTGTAATATATAAATATAAATTTAACATATATAAGATAGGCAATAAGAGCCAAATCGCGGATGACAGTGCGTTATTCTAAACGAAACTAAATTTTTTCGTTAGAATAAATACCTGTGCACAAGGCACCAAATTTTTACTTGGACACGGCCAAGATATAACGGCGTTTATTTACCAACATTAATATATATAACAGAGAAAAGTATAGAATCGAAAGGATCTGAATAGCTCAGTTGGAAGAGCAGTCGCCCGGCAAGCGAAAGGTCTCGGGTCGATTCCCGATTCTGCGACTTTCGGATCTATATTTTTCTCTCGCACTTTATTTCTTTAGGGGGAATAGGGGATACATGGAATTAAAAATCTCTTGTAGAGATTATTCCAATTTTATATCTTGGCCGTGTCCAAGTAAAAATTTGGTGCCTTGTGCACAGGTATTTAATTCTAACGAAAAAATTTAGTTTCGTTTAGAATAACGCACTGTCATCCGCGATTTGGCTCTTATTGCCTATCTTATATATGTTAAATTTATATTTATATATTACAGAGCCTAGTTAAACTCTTAATTTATACACGCTGGCTTAAAGGCGTTTATTTACCAACATTAATATATATAACAGAGAAAAGTATAGAATCGAAAGGATCTGAATAGCTCAGTTGGAAGAGCAGTCGCCCGGCAAGCGAAAGGTCTCGGGTTCGATTCCCGATTCTGCGACTTTCGGATCTATATTTTTCTCTCGCACTTTATTTCTTTAGGGGGAATAGGGGATACATGGAATTAAAAATCTCTTGTAGAGATTATTCCAATTTTATATCTTGGCCGTGTCCAAGTAAAAATTTGGTGCCTTGTGCACAGGTATTTAATTCTAACGAAAAAATTTAGTTTCGTTTAGAATAACGCACTGTCATCCGCGATTTGGCTCTTATTGCCTATCTTATATATGTTAAATTTATATTTATATATTACAGAGCCTAGTTAAACTCTTAAAAAAAACTAAATTTTAAAAAGTTAGGGCCGGTTGTTCTAACTCTTAATTAAGTTTTACCCGACAAGTAGCATATATCTCTGTCTTTTTTTTTTAGAACTTATCTGAAAAGAGACGAAAATATGCTATTTGTCAGGTAAAACTTATCGAGAAGTTGGAAAAATCGGCCCTTAAGAATAAAAATTTTAATTATGCTCCTTCTTAGAAAAAATCCTGCAGATGCCCATGCTATGTACGTCACTGCTTTTGACGTCATAGCGCCGCGCATGTGACATGTGTCGAGGAAGTTTATATCCGAATACACTATATACAGCAGTGCTTTGACATATGTAAGTATACACGGAGTAATTAGTAATTATACACGTTGTAGAGTTGTAATTTGTAAATATATTCTTTTCGTTTGACACTCAAGCTATGTAGAAAAAGCGCAGGAAACGTTCTGAGAAAGAAGATTCTCTCACGAGCGAGAAGAGAAGGTTGTGCCACGAAAAGAAAGGACTCGCACCTTGTTCACGATTCTTTTATCATGACATCGGTAGACTCGGGAGTGGAAACCGGGAACGACTCGAATGACAGCTTGAGCATCCAACACGAGAGCCAGCAGCAGCATGTCGCTGCCTATCGAGACACCAGCGGTACCAATCCCATTAATTGCAGTAACAAAGAGAGGGAAGAGTACATCATTGAGCTGCCACCAAAGGAGATACAGAGGAATCCGAATCCTGATCTGATTTTGGCATATACCGGTATCAACCTTTGGATGTTTGAAAATAACAATATTCCGAGGAACGAATGGCAAAACATGTTTCAACAAGCCATGAATACTGTCAAAGAATTGCCAAATCTGAGGCCATCGAATATGGAAATCACAGAAACAGTAAGCAGCAATTCTGTCAAACACAGAGATGACTGTTCTGTTGTTGGAATAATTATTTCTTTTTTTTTCAAATGCAAAAAGTAAGAGCTTATAAGTAATAGATATTAAGATTTTTTCAGCTTTTTGGTATATGCTGTTAAATAAACTTGTTTAATGAGCAATTATTGTGGCAAATATATGATTTGTGTAACTAAGAATATAGTAATTGTAAATATAGAAGGAAACATATATTAATATTATTTTTTAGATGAGAAGAAAAATGCCAGGACCATGTGGAATAAATAGAAACAGAACTAGTACAGAGTTATTGAAAAGTCGTAAGTGTTTTTACAATTTTAATCAGATTATTTTTGAGAGAAAAAGATAAATATTCTTGCAATATTATATCTATTCAAAAGTAGTTCTTTGTACTTATTTTTTGTCTTTTTTCTTTGTATACAATTATCTTGTTCTAGGTAAACTAAAGATTACTTTATATAATTCTTTGATAAAGATGTATTGAAATTATGTAATAATTTTAATTTAGGATCTGATTATCGTGCTAAAATAAAATCGTGTACTTGGTGTAAAAGTACAGCCAATCATTTGAAAGATTGGCAGATTCAACATATTGGACGAAAGATGCGACTGGCTGCTACTGTAAATAATACCGGATTGATGAGTAGGCTCTTGAATTATGGTGTATCACCCAACAGTCGTGATAGTGATGGACGAACACCACTTCATCATGCAGCTTGCAGGTAAATTATATATTTAAATAATTATACAATAAACATTACTTTATGTACATTTAAAGCTATTCTTTATGTATAGTTGTATGTTCTAGTCTGTAAACTTAAATAGAATTTTATATGGTCAAACTTTATTATAGCTTTAAAGGCTTATAAATATCTCTTGTGAAATACACACTACTATAGAATAAAATCAGAAGAAAGAAATAAAATTTATAGTTATCAAAAATATTTAAATTAAATTTTATGTTTTAGAGTTGTATTAATCTTTCCAAGAATGCTTTTTATTGCTAAGCAGGCTAAGAACACTGTTGTAAGATCTACTAAAAAAAATTACCAATATACATCATGTGATATAAAATCAACTTATTATTGTGACATACATGAGTATTTATGTTTTCTGTTATAGGGGTTATACAGAAATGGTCCAATTATTGTTAGAAAATGGTGCAAATCCAAATCAGCGTGATTGTATAGGCAATACTCCATTGCATCTAGCAGCGGTTACCAGCAAAATATCAGTGGTAACGTTACTTTTAAAAGCCGGTACTGATGTTCTTGCATTGGATAAATATGGCTACAATCCACTGCAGTTAGCGAAAGCAAAATTGAGAATGTTACGACGAAATTATAACGATAATGATATGGATAATATGAAGCAGGAAATGCATAATATAGCTGAGATGATATTGGCATATTTGCTGAAGCAAAATAATATGCAAGAGCAAGTAGAAACATTAAGCAATTTCTGTTCGCGACTTTCTTTATCTAGTACCTCAGATCAGGTTCAAGATGACGTGAAAGATTTATTGGCGAAAATAAATTCTCTTAGTATATAAAGGGTTAATTGCTGGTAGAATGATATTATGCTATTCATTTTCATAAATTAAATAAAGCTTTTTAAAATTTGTGATAAGTATATATATATATATATATATATATATATAATATACAATTAATATATATATATATATAATATATAATTAATATATATATATATATATATATATATATAATATATAATTAATATATATATATAAAATATATAAATTTTATTATATATATATAATAAAAGCTATTTTGAGAAATTTATGTGTGTATAAATGTATATATATACTTATATATAAATATAAATATATATATATATATATATATGTGTGTGTGTGTGTGTGTATATATACTATATATTGTGTGTATATACTTCTCAAGAATATTAAACATATTTTTCCCTAATTGTTATTTCATATTATTGATAAATATTTTCTTTCTTTTACAAGTATACTTGATATTTTAAAATATTGAAACATATAACAAAGATCGTGATGTTTGTACAATATAGAGTAAATAGATAAAACTATGTCGATTATATTATAAGTCAGATAGCCGGCCAATACTGTAGTAAATTTTCAAGAAATGAGTATATGGAATCACAAGCTAGCAGATTTACTTGGACTCAACATAAGACTGAATCTTTCATCCTTCACATTGATTTTATTAAAATTTGATTTGCAAAATTATTTTGAGACAATAAATTTTTCTTATAATAAAATTAGATCTAACGTGAAGACTAGAATTTGTATAGGATTATCCTGCTTGAAAAATGTCGTCCAATTGATTTATATATTTGTGGCCAATTGTGTCATCTGATTCAAAGCATGAATAAAAATATTTAATATTGAAACAAAAATCTTAAATTTTCAGAAAAAACTCAGAAAATAATAAGCAATTCTCCATTAATATATTCCATTAATCTTGTACTTTATCATTAGTATGTAAGTGCATCTTGTAAAAAGCTTTCATAATAATGATATAAGTGCTGTATAATAAAAAAAAATGCTGTACAATCCGCTTAATAATAAAATTGTAATTTCATTACACATGTAAAAATAAAATGATCTCTATATTAAAAATTGCATTCTTTGCATTTATCTATGAATCTATTCTCTCAATATTTTAATTCTAGCTAACATTAAAAAAATTTATATTTAATTGTTACGCATCTGAGATCCTGATAACAGTATCTCGCAAATATATGAATTATATATTTATGTATAATTATTTCTTTGAATATATATTGTAATAATTTATAAAATAAATATTTATAAAAATTTATAAAATAAATATTTAATAAATTTTCTAAGAAGAAGCTCGCAGATCCACAAAGGCTTTATTCGCCCTTGATCTCTCCGCGCAATATAGTGCTGCCACCGGTGAGCAATGCGCGGAATCAATTATAGCGTGCATTCAAACTTGCGAGGATATAAGGGAATTGCATCGTGGGTGGTCCGTCGAGGAGTATCGTGTGTGGTCCGGCTGGTTCGAATGTGGACGCTGTCTGTTCCGGCGAGACCGTGGAAGATGCGAGACGTTTCGGCGGAACTAAATCAAGACCTCGTCCCGGTTGGTTAGCTGAAACCGCGTATAAGAACAACGGTCTCGACTCGTGAACGCGATGTGCACAAAAGTACGCGAAAAGTCTCTTCCTCGCTCCTCCGTATCTATTGTTTATCCACGTGCTTCACATGACTCTCTGTTATTAAAAATATTAATTATTGATTAGATAGCACAATCTTGTATTTGTAAAAAAATAGAATCTCTTTTCTCACATTTTTTTGGAATAAGTAGACGTCTATATTTTATTCTTTTTATTCTGAAATTTTATCTTTATTGACTCCAGAATTGAAATACTGTTTTCTACTCTCACAGATGATAGTTTTGCTGGTCCTTTGTTTCTTGCTGTTTCACGGATCATCTTCGGAACTGGAGCATGAGCCTAACAGCAATAATGGAGAAAATAATACATGGAAGGACATGGATCTGGCTCCTCGGCATAGAATGAAAGATTCAAGTTATTTGTTGGACAGATATTCTATAAGAGAACTGTCACCAGATGTCTTAACTTGTCGCAGACCTGTTCAATGTGTTCCTCTGCAAGAAAGTACCTGCATGGGTACGAAATTGCCTTATACCTCTACAACATTGGATCTTATACCTGAGCGTGTGACTCAAGCCATTATTAAGGTAGATAAGATTATTATTTAAATATTCTTTGCATTGGTAATATTTTTTTTCCTATTCTTTTCTCCAATAAAGCGCATGGCATGACCTTCATAAAAGATGCATGCAAGTTAAAACCTTAGCATTATGAAGCATTCTATGGAATGAGCCTACTTCTTATTTGGAAGTTTAAGTATCCAGAATTAGATTTGAAATTATATCAGGTATTTCCTTTTTCATTATTCACACAAGCTTATCTTTCTCGAATAGAATGTTTAATTTTATGCTAACACTTTGTGATATCTGGATATATTTTTATTCTTTTAGCATGATTATTAATAACACGTTGTTATTGTTTAATATATTAAATATTGCATTTTGTGTTACTTATGTAATTTTAAAACATTTTTTCATACACATTTTTCTATTTTCAGGACAGACTATACTTGTTACAAGCTTTGAAACATGTACCAAAGTGCTGGGCTGTTGTTCAACCGTTTTTATGCTCGATATTCATGCCAAAATGCGTCAATAATACGGTCGAGCTGCCGTCTCAAGAGATGTGCAAAATGGTGTCAGGGCCCTGTAGGATGTTGATTAATCACACGATATGGCCGAGTTTCGCAAAATGTGACAATACAAAATTGTTTCCACGATTATGCAAAAACGACATTAGAGAATTGAAATTTAACATCACTGGTAAATGTCTGAAACCTCTCGTGCCTACTGACAATGTCCTCTCAATTTTTGATGGAGTGGAAGGCTGTGGAACAGAATGTTATAATCCATTATACACCTCTGATGAACACAATCAAATACATTCGTTTATTATATGGGCTGCAGGTATCTGTTGTGCCTTCAATTTGTTTACTGTTGTAAGTGTATAGCAAATATAAGTATATTTATAATTTTATTACAGTAATATATGCTTTAATTATTTATAATTATATATTATATTTTAGATAACATTTTTGATAGATTGGAGAAGCGCAAATAAATATCCAGCTTTAGTAATATTTTATATTAATGGTTGTTTCTTGGTTTCTTGCATCGGCTGGTTAGTCCAATTCTCTCCTACTGGCAGAGAGGTAATTATATGTCGCAAAGATGGAACACTAAGGATGAGAGAACCGAGGTACGTTTTACAAGTACTTTAATAATAAATTTTGCAACTTTAAGATACAATTTTGTAAAATACTTATGTATTTACAGTGGAGAGAACTTGTCTTGTGTCATTGTCTTTGTCCTTGTGTATTATTTCCTAATGGCGGCTATGGTATGGTTCGTTATTTTAACATATACTTGGCATATGAGCTTCCGAGCACTTGGTACAATACAAGATCGAATAAACAAGAAGAGTGCTTATTTTCATCTAATCGCTTGGTGTGTACCACTCGTTTTAACAGTCGCAATTATGGCATTAGGCCGAATCGATGGCAACAGCATGACAGGAATATGCTTCGTGGGTTACACTGATCATGCAGCAAAGATTTTTGTATTAGGGCCAGTGTTAATTGTTATGCTAGTAGGAGGATATTTTCTATGTAGAGGTAAGTATTATTTTTCATTCATTATGTATATTTGTATAAAATATAGAATACTAAAATGATAATAATAAAAGTTCTCATATCTCTTTCTCATTGCTCTCTGTATTAATATAAATTGTGAGTATTGATTCGTATTCTTTATAATGTATAAAGAGTATCTTTTGTTTCTATAATGTTATACTTATTTTAGGACTTTACACACTTATACGCTTAAAGATAAGCAGTCAAGAAATTATATCCGAAAGGGCAAGTTCAAAGATAAAACAAACTATCGTCAGAATGGGGTTCTTTTCTATAGCTATTCTTGCAGCGGTTGTTGTAACATTTTATTGTGAAATTTACGAAATTCAACACTCTTGGGAATGGCGACAAAGCTACAGAAATTATATGATGTAAGGATTTCAATATTATAACGTTAAAGCCTGGATGTATATAATATATACAATATTAATTGTTCTTTTTGTATCAATAAGCTTTTCATTGGATGCATATTTCACCACATGTATTATGTTGTATTGTATTATCTACTATATTGATATTCTGTTTATTTACAGATGCGCGATAACGACGATGTATGCAGATGTGTCTGACTGCAAAATAGATACAAGGCCTAGTACAGGTAAACTGCAATTGCATTTGCTTGCACTATTTGCCACCGGCATCCTTATGTCCTCGTGGGTTTGGACCAATTCGACTGTGAACACCTGGTGTAGATTTCTGAGAAGGTAAATTTCGACACACGTTAAGTATTTACCGTATCAACAATTACTCTTGCTGCCATCAATGCGATTTTGAATAGTATGTGTTTTCTCTTTGCTTGTAGAATCTTCAATCGTGATTCTGACGATAAGACTGAGCCTATAAGAGTGAGCAAGCATAAGCTTATCGCGCATTTTTTCGCGAAACGTAAAACATTTAACAAAGCCGGACGTTTGTCATTAAGTTTTGCCAACGTTCACGAGGATCCGGTCGGATTGAATTTTGATCTCAACTCTGCGGCATCTCAAGACTACAGCGACTTCACGACTTGGGCAGCTGCTCTGCCTAAATTAGTGACGCGAAGAGGTGCACTGGTTGGTGGTACTACCGGATCTGTGTCTAGCAATAGACGAAATTCAGCTGATTCTGAGATCAGTTATAGTTTTCGATGCGTCTCCATGGAATCCAGGCGAAATTCGTTGGATTCGCAAATATCCGTGCAGATTGCACAGATGAAGACTACCCGGAAGGTGGCCAATCGGTCGCGCGGCCGTCGTGGGAAGAACAGAAGAGAATTCGCGAAATCCCGGTCGAGCAAAATCGATCCACTCTCCAGGAGAGGCAGCACCACTTCCCAGGATAGTCAACTGATGGCTCAAACACCTATGGTGTTTCCAATTCAGATGCCTAATATGGGCAGGAGACCGGGAAACGCTGGGTTGGATGAGCGACCTTTGAAAATTATCGACACCAAAGATACAGGCATGCTGTTGCCCTTTTTGTTACAAAGGCAAAGCGCCAGTGACGAAAATCTAAGCAGTGATGAAAAGAGACGTCAAGATATGACTGATAAAGACGTCGACATAGAGGCGGGTAACATGGAGAAGGAGGATGAACCGGAAGATAGCGACAGCGAAGACAGTCAGCTGGATGAGGAAGTAAAAATGTTAGATCCAGAGGAAGTGCATGAGCGTAGCAAGAAAAGTAGCAGTAAAAATTGTAAAACTTGCGAGGATGATCGTAGAAACCGCGAAAGTAGTCACAGGAGCAGATACGTCCTGCAGGACGAATCGATCTTGAAGCATCTGCTTCAAGAGACGAGCGATATCAAGATGAAGAACGAAAACGAGAAGGAGATGTATAGGAAAACTGTGATGGACGACATGGATTCTAGTCACACCTCGTGTTATCCAGAAATAACGAGATTACTGCAAAACGACGGACCTACTAACGCCAGAGAAATGGCGACGCAGACCTCGTTGCCGCTCGATATACTGGAAATGGAGGAGTTAAAGCAAAGTATCGACGAAATAATCAACAACAGACATTGTAGTTCTAAAGGGACTCAAATATCGCCGCAATTGAAAAAAGGCAAGAATATTATGACATAAGACTGAGGGAGTTATATATGTATATTTTTAGTGTATATTGAGAAATGTGCATATAAAACAAGGTACGTGCTAAATAGTGTAATTGTTCATCTAAGTAACAATTATTGTACAACTATTGTATCGTTACACATAATTGAACTATTTATATACTTTAGACAGGGTGTCCTTTTAATTAATCACCTCTCAAAATTAATTTTTGATTGTTTAACAAAATGTTTTAAATAAAAATTATTTAACTTAAAGAACAGGAAAATAGCGCTAACTTTTTTAAGTCGTTTTTCAAGATCATTAGGCTTTTTTTTAATTGAACTATTATTAAATAACCTTCAAATAATCTTGAAAAGTGTTCTTTAGGAAAAAGTCAAATCAAACTTTTATTTACATTTTGTTGTACAATAAAAAAATTTTTTTAGAGTGATTGATTAAATGGGACATTATACTTTACATACTATATATCTTTGTATTTCTTCTTATCACTCTTATCTGCAATCGTTATAGTATTCTCTAAATAAGAGTGAGATCATGTGATTTTTGACAGTTGTCGTTACTATTGTAAATTATATATATATAGGTAAGGGAAAAGGCGAAAGAAATAACGAAATAATCGGATAAAGTAATACTGACTCGACGAAATTATAAGTACAATAATGCATATCGATATTTTTCTACGTTTTATTATTGCTAAAATAGTAATCAAATCTCAGCACGATCGACAACTTGCACATCGCGCAAGTGCTCTAAAATAATATAATTTAATCTGTTATACTAGAATTTTTCTAAATGTAACACGTCATAAACATTATTTTCCCGCAAAAATGAAAAACTATTATAGTTCTAATAATTGTGTATATTCAAACGTTTATATAAGAATGTGTATATCGAACGCTCTATGACAGTAAGATATTCTTTGTTTATACGTATATTTTTTTAACAAGTAGCTAATAAAATTCGTTTTATATAATTCTGATTTTATATAATTCTATTACATCATATTACTCTATCGTCTATAAATTATAGCGCTAATTTGAGAAAAAAAAAACAAAATCTATTTCTCAATATATAATTATATAATCTAAATTAAACGTTCGCTAGGGCTGTAATCTATAACAAGTTGCTATCGTTAACGGTCGTTATCATTATGCATCTATTTTAACATGAAAATATATGCACAACGAGATGTTAACGATAGCGACTCATTGTTACGAGTTACAGAATACAGCCTCTGAGGCAATAAACACACAATAAACACGCTCTTTACATTTTAATACTATATAAATATTAGATATTACATGTTACTTTTACCATAACTACATTCTTCACAGTTGCGGAAAAGTAGTATTCAGTGGATCATTTTTTTTGTTAATACAAAAATCTCAAAAAATTGCATTCTGAATATTTATGACAAATGTCTCTATTGAAAGTTACTAATTATAAGCTGTTTTTTTTAATCATTGTTTTTTATATATTTTTCATAATTCTTATTAATATTTTTATGGATATGGAATATTTGTGTGTGTGTGTGTGTGTACATACATACCGCATTTTTTTAAAATGTAGTTTTACTATTCTCAATATTTTCTTAAATGTGTTTATATCTAAAACATTTTATTACTATATGGTATATGCAATTCTAAAATGTATATTGCTTTCTTCCAATGTGTCAAAATTCTACTACATTAATGATATTACTTTTCAAGAGGAAAAAAAATTTGGAGTAAAATTATCGTCATTTACATTTTTATTACATATTCAATCACAGAGAACTCTGTGAACAATGCATACTTTTGCGTAGCTATCACGCGCGATAGTGTACGTTCTGATTTAAATATATACTATATTTTGGCACAAATTAACTAATATCAAGAGAGACTCATCCACTGAACTTATTTAATAAAAAATTTCTAAAAAAATATCAACATTTAGGCCATATATATATTATATTTATATCACTAAATACGCCGCTGAATTAAACCAAAATATAATCATACATGGAATATATATATATATATATATATATATATATATATATATATATATATATATTACGTCAATGTCGGAAAGTTGAATCTTCGTTTCGTAAATTAATACTAGGTCTCGCCGAGGCACTTTTCTCACTTGTAGCAAGAAAATGTCTTTGACGATGTTATCTTCGGATGTGACCGGTATTTTACGACAGATAGACAGACAGATAGAGAGACAGAGAGATATTTAAGATTCCTCTTGTATCCGTTTCTCGGGCGTTTCTACGTTTTCAAATCCGGTTCCAAGCTCTCTGCTACGTATTTTTTCCTACACTCGATCACAAATATATCCGGACTTTAGAAGGGGCAAGTTTGTGTTGCGTTGTACGCACTATATCGTATACTTTATATATGCACATATATATATATATATATATTATACACACAGTATATTTTCCGTGCACCACATTAACTTTATTTTATTGGTAGAGAAACACAACAATATAATAAGATCGCTCGCTCTACGAAAGTACAAAAATAAGTATTGTCGTAGGGGACGGGGGAATATTGATATGAAAAAAGGTGCGTGTGTATCGTGTTTTGATTTGGCGCGCGCGCGAAAAAAAAGAAAAAAATAAGAACATCCTTACAGGAAATTAGTCTCCCTTGTCCGTGATCACACATAGAAATGCATTGCATCTTGCACATGCGTTCGCTCACTTACATATGTTATCTCCATCGTGCCGGGTTAACCGCGGTTCGATCCTCACCATAGTTATACCTTGATAAATGCGCGCTATGTTCGCATGCACATACATATACAACGCAAAGATTTTCTAAAATGAGACACGTTTAACTTTCGATAAATAATATATAATAATATAATATACGTGCATGCTGCAACGGAGGTGTAGAAAAAAAAGAAAGAAGATTTCATTCTGGTTTATTCACCACCACCGCAAAGAGACGGCAGGCAAGAACGCGAACATGGTTTCACATCACCCGGTTATAGGGATCACCCGCTTGGGCGAGGCTACTTGGATTTGGCATGAGATTTTTTATGCTTAGTGTGTTCGTTACCCCAGACGATGTTGTTCAGCATCTCCCCGACGAAGTATAGAATCGTGCAAAACATTAACAGCACCGCGAAGAACAGGATCCGTAGCGGCTGCGTTAGCACATCCATCACAGGATACACCCAGATCCCGCTTTTGTAATAAATTATGTGCATCCTGAAATATTTTCGTCGATAATCCAAATTTTTTTGGCTATTTTTTGACAATTTTTTTTACATACATATGTATATATAAATAAGGAACAGACAGAGAAATTATATAAAGATTTAAAGAAGATTTTTTAAAACAAGAGATAAATATAATCTTACAATATAATTTTGTATAAATATAATCTTATAAAAAAAAGATTATTTTTTTAACAAGAGATACCGGTTTGCATCCTACCTATATAAGCCATTATGTGTATATATATATATACACAATGTGTTTTCTCCAACCGATTACGTATAGAGTTATTAAAGTTAAATGTATATTTAAATATATAAAACGTTATTAAAGTTATTCCAATATACTTATATAAGGTGTTATTATAAAGACCGGATACGCAGATCCGTTTTACTTACCAAACTAAGTACACGAGCATGAAGCTCACCAGTATTCCGAGACCGCGAGATCGCTTGGGATATTGTCGTGGTGCGACGATCATTTCAAACACGGTCGTCACCATAATCATCGTGTGCATTAAATGGTTCAACCACCATGGAAAGTACGGGTCCAATGCTTTCGGTAATACTAATTCACGGTCCACGAACATCAACGCCCAGAAGGTCACGCCAACGAACTGCGAGACAGAATTGACATTACACGTTTTATCGAAACACATTATTTCGATAAATTTTATCCATTCGATATAGCAGATTATATATTCATATAAAATCAAGCATATAGAAAGTAAATTATCCGTTTTTATATAGATTCTTAGATGCAGAGCAAATGCATAATTAGCTATACTTGTATAGAAAACAGAGAGTAAAATTATTATAATTATTTATAGTGATCCTTAGATGCAGAGCAAATGCATATAATTAGCTATCAGCTATAGAAAAGAGAGAGTAAAATTATGTCCCATTCAAAAAATGTCTCAAAATTGCGAATATTTTTTCTTATATCTTCTAAAGTGATCAAATTAATGCAAATTATTTTTTAATAAAAATATATATAAAACGCATAATTTGTAATACAGATATTTTTTTAACAAAAATAAATATACATATTATATATCTATATGTTATATACACATTATTTTGATAAATATTATGCACTTGATAGCAAATAATATTCATATAAAATTAAGCACGTGAAAAGTAAATTCCGGTCATAAAGATCCTTAGATGCAGGGCAAATGCATAATTAGTTATCGAAAAAAGACGGACATATTAAAATTAATGTTCCATTTAAAAAATGTCACACAGTTTCGAATACTTTTTTTATATCTTCTAAAGTGATTAAATTAATGCAAATTAATTTTTAATAAAAAATATATACAAAACACAGAATTGTAACATATAGATATATACATATATAAATATATAGATTTTTTAACAAACCATGCAGTTTTTTAAATTAAAAAATATACATATATCTACATTTTACAATTATGCGTTTTGTAGATGCTAAATTGGACAGTATTTGCGTTATCGCAGTACTTAAAATGGAAATACTTTTAACGAAAACTATAACAAAATAGCATAATAATACATTTAAATTACCATTGTAAATTTATACTTAAGTCAGTTTATTGAAATATATTTTTCTTTTCCTTTCTGGAGCTGATCAATTTTGATATTTCTTGAGTTTTAACATAAATATAACATTGTAGGAAAAAATATGAAAAAAGAGATCAATTATACTTACCATGGCGACAGGAAATCCGATACTCGCATGGAAATAATCCTTCAACTTTCGTACGAAGGGTGGTTTCTTTGGATTTACGGCATTCGTGCCGTAGAAATCGTTCAAGAGACATATTAAGAAGAATATGGCTTGTAGAATCTAGAACACAATTGACATTTCAAACTGTTCCGATTAATGAGTCAATAAATATTTTTAACAATCAGCTTACACAATACGGCTAGGATCGTATATAAAAATATATATCACTTTAAACTTATGTGCAATGCCTAAATTAATATTATCGTCCGACGACCGATTTAAGTGACAGTAGTCGGTTTCGTCGTTGAGATCAATTTGGATGCATTAATAAAGCGGGCTGAAAATTGAGCGTATAATTGGTCAAACACAAAAGTCAAATAGAACGTCTGTGACAGAGTTTTGAACGGTCCTCTTTCGTACTTTTCTTTGTACTTGAAATAAGCAAAAACATATACATAAATGAATGACGAAGACTATTTGCTCAATTCAGAACAGCGTAATTATGCAAACTGCTACCGTAAATGTGTACTTTATCACTTAAAATATATTATTTGCATAGTTTAGCATACACATATTCGAGTGCCGTTTGAATCAGCCGAAGAAAGACGAATTGGACAAATATTTCACATAGTAGTGTTAATTTTGCAATTAGTAGTCACATTTATAATCAACGCACGTGCTTTTATCACACAGATTGTGAATATATACGTATTGCACGTAGCTTTACATCTCTTTCCTTCACTTTAAATATTTTTATTTAATTTTTTTTCCTAATATTTATATATAATAGATGTTAATTTTCTTTATATAGATATTAATTTCTTTTATATATATTGCATAAAATACAAGCGTCAACAAGATATAAAATATTACGAACTTTTTTCTTTGTGTGTATTATTTTGTACTGCGTATATGCGATTTCTTTCAAGCGTTCATCTAGTATTGACATCTCGAACCAAATATTGATCCAAGACTTATTTTATGCCGTCCATTTAAATCCATCACGTGTCAGTCACAAATACATGTCTGTCGCGTACAATTCCGTCAAGTGAGGCTCTAACTCGTTGACAGCAGCACAAGAGGAAGTGTGACCTCATTATCTGCGCGCTATCCTTCATATCAATTAAACTACTTAGCATCTAATTAACATCTAATTAGCATCTAATGAAATTGAGCTCCTTTGAGAGTAAAGAGTTAAAAATTTTACGAAAAAAAGTTTTTTAATCATTATAAAGCCTTGTGTGTTTATGAACTACTTTTATCGTACAACTTTTATCATACACTTATTATAATAATTACGAACTGAACGGATAAAAATCCCATTAATCTAAAAACTTCAAATTCAACGCGATACGGAAATTGCTTTTCTTCATTTTGCTAAGTGAAAAGATTAATTCGAGTCCGAGCGAGCATTTGAGCGTAATTATCGATCGATTGACGTTGCACATAAGCAGTCTTGTGTGACGCGTGCCTCCTGTTCACTGCATAATATCAAGTGGTGCTTAAACAATTGAATTTTGCTCTTTACGATCGGCATGATAGCGGCAATTTAAGCGTGAAATGGTCGAGAGTATGTCATCTCTCGCGCGGCGATAAAATGCTTGAATATAATCTGGTCGAATGTAGAGTCACGCGTTTAGCTCAACAGAACAAATTGAGTGGAATAAGAGCTGCTCATTCACTTGTTTTTCCCAATAATATATTTTTTGGTATGCTCGAGACGCGTTGTCAATAAAAAATAAAAAAAAAATAAAAAAAATAAAAAAAAATAAAAAAAAGGAAAATAAATAATTCCAACATATATTCATATCTATTAAATACGTTGCGTTCATTCGTTCAGTCGTGACATGTCTCTAAAATTTATCTAGTTTCAGTTTTATATTTCGACGAGTAATTGTTTTTTAGCATTTTACTATATATGTGGAGAATGGAGATTTTTTCTCGCACAAGATGAGATTTCTACGTTTTTTTTCGAACTAAAAATAGCAGGATAAAATTTTTTTTATTAAGAAAAAAAATTGTTTCTAGAATAGTAGGATCATATTTTTTGAAGGAGAAATTTCTTCTATATAATTGCTAATTTCACCGATAATCATAGATGAGTATATCCCGTTTTCTTCTGTCTTCGTTGTCCGTCTTGAAGAATATTATATCACCAGTTATTTGTGTTTTTTATGATCGCGCTGGTACACTAGATGGACGTGTCGGTTTTCACTATTGCATAACATGGCAATAAGAATACATTGCACGTGGTTACTGGATAAACGATCGCGGAGAATCGGTTCTTGTGAAGAATAGTAGAATTTCTCATCATCTCCGTGCGATATTACCACATGGAAGACATGCGGACAGTAATTTTTTCTTCTTTTGAAAAGAAATATCGACAAATGAGCAAAAAGACGTTTATACTCGGGGAAAAATTAAAATGATGTCTAATGATGAAGCTGTTACTGAAAGCTGTGTATACGTAATATTTTATATATGTATAATCGCATATATATTAATATATTATGTAAAAGATGTAAAATAATTGTAAATATAAATATATAAATATGTATTTTTATATATTTATAAAAACACGATCCTGAAGTAAAATAAAATTTAAAGATCAAGCTATAGCGATGAGAGAATAAAATCTCGTTGCAATAAAATCTCGTTACGACAAACTTGATCAGATTTTAAATTAAATTCGGAATTGTTGCGAGATCTTGTTATACATATAGTATCGCGATATATGTATCGAGATTGAATCCTATCAACAATTCTAATAACAATTTCATGAAAATTCCATTACAGGGAAACATTTCTTTCTCTCGTCAATCGTTACAACGAAATTTCATTGTTCGTAACAGCAAAAAGATCAATGCAAGAAATAAATGCAAAAACACATTTGTATCTGTGTATGTATCCATGTGTGTATGTACACGGAGAGAATTTTCTTTTAGAATTTATCCTGAAAATCATGGTAATCGTGGGACAATATGATATTGAAAGAATCTTATGAGAGCAGTGAAAAAAGTCTATATACTTTTACATGGAAATTTTTTGTTCTAAATTGGAAAAATTACTTAATTATCACTGTAATAAATTTTCATATTTCTTAAAATAAAAAAAAATAAAATTACCATTTTAATGCAAAAATCACTTGCGTAATTTTAAATTTAGTATTTTTATTTTATTAGAACTTTATTTTGTAAGCATTTATCCATTTTATTTATAACATTACTTTATGGCATTTATACATTACTAGCATTTCGTATGTGTAATTCCATGTTCAGTGGAATATTTTTGATCTTGAAAAAAATATATTTCGTATGAAATTACATATAATCTGTAATCTTCCTTATGGGTAGCAATTATGTATGATTATGCTGGATCGAAAAAAAACCCAACATAATTATATAGTTTCACACAATTATTTTTTTCAGTAAATTTCTCCGATTAATATTTACCACATAAAAAATTTTAATATGTACATAGTAAAATTAATCGAATATATTTTATATCTTATTGTGGTAGATATGAATATTTTTTATTCCGGTAAAAATATAACCAGAGAAACTCTCTTATAAAATTCTTCCAATACCATAATATATTGTCCCACGATTACCATAATTTTCAGAGTAAATTCTAAGAGAAAGTTCTCTCGGTGTATGTATTTTCTGTGTGCAACGTGCATATGTAACGTGCATCCGACACCAAGGGGTGATAACTTGATTAATCAAAACGGCGCACTCAGCTTGTACATCGATACTAACCGCATCCCAGAACGTTAGAAACTTGAACTTCCCACCGAAGGCGCTGTGCACCCTCGTGACATTGTACGGTACGATCGTATATGTGTAATCGTAAAAAACCGCGAAAGCGAACTGCAGGAAAGTAACCGCATGGAATCCGATTGCTAGGCCCTCTCGCATCTCACGGCTGTTCGCGAGTAGTCTGAAAACTATGCGTAATTATCTCCTTTAATGATCCTCGACGATATCATCAATCGTCTAGCAAGAGTAGGAAGCAGGTACGAGTGTCCGCGCTTATTATATATATATATATATATCTTTTTTTTCGACGAGATAAATAATTCTATTTCGTAATGTTTCGAATCATTCGGATTGCAACTTTCGTATCCCACGCTAATAAACCGCGAGAAATCTTTCATACCTGACAGCAACAAGGAGAGAGAGCGATATAATGCGCGCAAATTCGATAATAATATAATTAAAATATTAAAATTGCAGATTTATATGTCAGTGTAGTAAGACATTTATACGAATAGATTCATTTATCGCTAATGTTAATAAGATTTTCTGTTACACGCTCTTTTTGCCAATACAAACTTACGAACACATTTTTGAAACATTTTTTTCAGTACCTAATTTGATATCATTTCTATTTAATATTATTATAACACATTGTTACGGAATTATAATAATTACATAATCGCACTATTTTGTTGAATAATTTCATAACATTTTTGCATGGAATTAGCAAGAAACTACATTCTGTGGCAGCGGCTTGTTTCGCAATATATTATGTTTTTACTTAAACAAATATAGCTACGTATTTGATTACATTCGATCTATGAATGTCTGCCTATTAATTATAACAAACCGGATTAATAAATCTGGATAAATGCTGTTGCATAATCTGGTCAGGAGAAAGAAACTCTAATAATTTACCATTTTGGTTTTATATAAAATTGCTAAATACATTTACAATACAAACACATTTGTAATATACTCATAATATTAAAGATGATCACCTCGTTAGTGTCCATCAGTTTTAAATTGAATAAAAAAATACAAATTGCAAATGTATGGTTAATTTTAAACTATGGTTTTTTTTACACGATTGAATTTGGAATAATAATATGTTAACCAAACCGCTCTGTCTAAACTGTACTTGCAAATTCTTGCTCTCTCAACCACATTTTCCATTACCAGAGTGTCAGCTAATATTGCAGCAATTCCTTACCATATATTTAAGTCCTCCTCCAAGAGAGTTGTTGCCTTATTTTAACACATCTTACCTTCAGAAAATTAATATACGCGAAGAAATTGCTGCAATAATGAAAAATGCAGTTGGAAGAGAGAAAGATAGAGCGATTTAGGAGATTTAGCAAT